CTGTTTGTATTATATAATAGGGTCTGAACAGGATGCTGGATTTACACAGTTTCTAAAATTAATGAAAGTTCCGCTGTCAAAACCCCATATACGTCTTAACTATACCACTTGGGTGAAAGTACACCCTGATATGGATAAATGATAGTACAACTAAATAATTGGACATACAACAATTACATTTTCAGAATTTAATTAATTTTTTTGCTCAAAAAGAGGCTTAAATGCAAAATAATAAGGCTAATTAAAGATCCATTTCCAAAAGCACAAACATATAATCACATTTGAAAAGTTAAAAAAGTTTGTATTGTATATACACTGTACAACAGTTTGTGAAAATTAAAATATTTAGGACACTAAAAAAAATTTGTTTAAAATATTTAAGTAGTTGATATTTATTTTTGTAATGTGTTTATGTGGTCATAATCTTGTTAGAATGTAGTACTGTTTTGATTTATGTTTAATAATTTTCATAGTGTGATTTTTGGTGTACTGTATTAAAACTAGTTCGTTAATTAGAACAATATATTAAACCCACAAAACCATAAAAACTCTTTCAATTGATAATAAGAAGTGAGATTTTAATTATATTTTGAACACTGAAGTAGGAAATGTTGTCTTATGTTTGAATTTAACTGTTCCTATTCTTTGTTAATTTTAGATTGCTCTGGACTAAGGTATATTATACCCACATGTCAGGGATGGATAGACAGATAATCACATATTGCAAGAAAAGAAGAGAGCCTAGGATCTTCCGGATATTTCTTCTGGTGAGAAAATCCTGCTCTGTATTTTCATGCCAAATTGTGCTGACACGCACACCAACACACACTTAGTGGCCCTTTACTAAACAGGGCAAATTAGCGTGAGAGCACAATTCCAAAACCGCGCCGATGGGCATGGAAATTTCTGCGGGTGATTTACTAACAACACGCAAATTAAAGAACACAAACACAACATCTAATTTACATATCGACCAATGAAATATACCAAGCGCAGTGCAAATTAGCGTAGTCACGAATAAAGATATAAATAAGCCACAGTAGGCTACGTTGAAAAGAACTGGAGGCCAAAAAATGAAGGGTTGCAAGAAGTTTTGATAGAGCTGGGATTGCGTGACTCCTAGTTGAGAGTTCCAAGTCATCTTGTATTTCCTGAAGCAAATTAAAAATAACATGGCTTGGCAAACGATATGTTCGGACAATGTGTTCTTCTGGCATTCCAAATAAAATGAATATGTGTGGGAAAAAAATCCTCCTCCTTCTACCACACGCTCTCTGTTCTCTGCGGTGCCTCGTCCTATAGCAACAATAATTGTAGCCATTTCAAGAGCAAAATTGTTTAAAGGGAACAAAATAGTTTTTTCACCTAAAAATGAAAATTCTGTCATTAATTACCCATCCTCGTGTCGTTCCTCCATTAGACAGCAAGGGAACTACCACGGTCAAGGCACAGAAAAGTACCAAGATGATTGACAAAGTAGTCCATGTTACATCAGTGTTTCAACCATAATGTTACGAAGCAATGAGAATAAAAAAAAAAATTTGCGCGCAAAGAAAACAAAAATAACAACTTTATTCCACATTTTCGTCTCTACTGCATAGGGGTGAGCCATATCATACCATCCACGATAACACGGTATACATTTTTACATGATTAAAAAAAGTGTCATATCGCGATATCAATGATATACTAGGATTTACTCTGACCGTGGTTGTTCCCTTGCTGTCTATGGGAGGGTCAGAGAGCCCTCAGATTTCATCAAAAATATCTTAAATTGTGTTCCAAATATGAAAGAAGGTCTTACGGGTTTGGAACAAAACGAGGTTGAGTAAT